TCACCAGGCTCAAGGTTGACTCAGCCTTCCATTTTTTCGAGGTAGGTAAAATGAGGACCTGGATTGTGGGGGCAATAAGCTGACTTTGTATAAAAAAAGAACATCGCTTAGGGGGGAGCCGAAAGCCCTACTAAGCAGGTATATACAAAAGTATGAAGGCTATTACTTAACGCATTGTAAGTCGCCCTGAGTCTCCGGAGAAGGGCGGCATATAAATTGAACTAATAAATAAATAAATAAATAATAAACTGAAAGGTAAGCTCAATAATTTTGGCCTGCAGAATGCTTCTGGAGGTGAAAGGAGGCCAAAAAAACAGGCAAAAATGGCCCATTTTTGCCCCAAAAATGAGCCGTTTTTGCTTGGTTTTAGCCTGCAGAATGCTTCTAGAGGTGGGGGGGAGTGAAAGGAGAGCAAAAGAACGGGAAAAACTGCTGCGTTTTTGGCCCAAAAACAAGCTGTTTTTGCCTGGTTTTAGCCTGCAGAATGCTTCTGGAGGTGGGGGAGGTGAAAGGACGCAAAAAAACAGGCGAAAATGGCCCGTTTTTCACCTTCCCCTCCAGAACATAGATAGACAGACACAGAGAGAGAGGCAGTAGGAGAGAGAGGGAGAGAGAGACAGAGAGAGAGAGAGACAGAGAGAGAGAGAGAGAGAGAGAGAGAGAGAGAGAAAGCGAGAGAGAGAAAGCGAGAGAGAGGAAGAGAGAGAGAGGAAGAGAGAGAGAGGAAGAGAGAGAGAGAAAGAAACAGAAACGGAGAGACAGAAAGAGAAAGAGGGAGGGAGGGAGAGAAGGAAAGAGAGAGAGGGAAAGAGAAAAAGAGAGGGAGTGAGAGAAAGACAGAAAGTAAAAGAGAGAAAGAGAGGAGGAGAGAGAAAGAAAGAGGGGAAGAGAGAGACAGAAAGAGAGACAGAGAGAGGGAGAGAGACAAAGAAAGAGAGATAGACAGACAGAGAGAGAAAGAGAGAGAAAGAGACAGAGAAAGATTTCTCAAGCTCCTTGGGGCTGAGAAGAATTGCTGTAAAACTAAGTTTCCTGAAGTGGCCCACTAGACTCCTAAACAACTGAAAAAATGATCTAGTAAAAAGAAAAGGCAACCAAAAGAGCAACATGCAAACAAAAGCAAATAAAACACCCCCAGAAATATTAAGATTGGCTGTAGAAATAGAAATTGGACCAAACGAATGGGCGGACCACAATCCGGTGACAGTAAGTTGGAACGAAAGAAAGGGTAGGGGAAGATGGACAATGAGGACAGATCTGGTAAGGGAGGAGGACTTTGTCACGGGATTGAAAAAAGAACTAAAGCTTTTTTACGAGGAAAATAGACGAGAGGATACCTCGCTACAAAATACCTGGGATACTATGAAAGCGGTTATAAGAGGATATTCGATAAAAAATTTGGTGCATAAATGGAAATTAGAAAGAGAGAAGAGGGGCAAAATTTTAGAAGAATTGGAAAAGGAAGAGAGGGCATTACAAGTAGACCCGAGAAATGAGAAGATAAAAGAGAGAAAAGAGCTTCTTAAACATAAATTATCATTACTGGATCAAGAGGAATTGGCGAACAAACTTAAGCGGGAGAGGCAACATTTTTTTGAACATGCTAATAAAGCAGGTAAATGGCTCTCGTATAGGTTAAGAAAAGAAATAGAAGCAAAGAGAATTGATGCCTTACAAGATGGTGAGGGAAATCTCATGGGGAATGTGGAAGGGAAAAAGAGGGTGATTACAAATTTTTTTGAGAAATTATATCAAAAAGAGGAAATACAGTAGATGCAAGTAAGGGCATACCTTGAAAACTTAAAATTAGCTAAAACCCCACAAAATATGAAGGGTATTCTTAATTCAGAGATTAGGGAAGGAGAAATTGAAACTGTTATTACGAAGCAGAAATGTGGCAAATCACCGGGACCGGATGGATTGCCAGTTGAATTATATAAAGAGATATACGATATACTATTGCCAAATATAAAAGACCTATTTAATGAAGTTCTAACTAAAGGTATAGTTCCCAGGTCATGGATGGAAGCTTACATCACGTTGCTTCCGAAGCCTGATTCTGATCGAACACAGATTAAAAACTATAGACCCATCTCCCTACTAAATTCGGACTATAAAATATTTACATCAATATTAGCGGAAAGATTAAAGGTTTTTTTAAACGAATACATCCACCAAGATCAAAACGGCTTTTTGCCATATACTTATGAGACAACGTTAGAACCATCATGGATACACTGGAATATTATGAAACACATACAAAGAAATGGTTCTAATGTTCCTCGACGCGCAAAAGACGTTTGATAGGGTTAATTGGGACTTTATTTTATTACAAATTGAGGAGATGGATTTTGGATCTAGCTTTACAGAAGTTATCTGGGCACTTTATACGGCGCAATATGCAAGAGTGTTAATTGAAGATGAAACAACAGAGGAGATACAAATACGTCGGGGAACTAGGCAAGGATGCCCACTGTCCCCGCTATTATTTATTTTGACTCTGGAACCTTTACTAAATCAAATCAGACAAAACTAAAGAAATAAAAGGACCTAATGTTAGGAAAGAGGAGTTTAAAATAAAAGCGTTTGCAGATGATCTCGTCTTTATATTGGAGGAGCCAATGACCTTGGGGCCAAATTTGTTATGAAGTATTGAGGAATTCGGCGCAGTAGTGGGTCTACAAATTAACAGGGACAAAACCAAATTACTTGTTAAAAATCTTAAGGGGACACGGAAATTGGAGATAGAGAATGTGATGGGAATACAAATAGCTAAAAAGGTAAAATACTTGGGCATATGGCTGACCCCAAAGTGCTCCTCGATAAAAAAGAATAATTATGATAAAGTCATCTTGCAAATGGAACAGGATTTAGATCGGTGGAGGAAAGTACAGCTATCCCTGTTAGGAAGAGTGGCAGTGATAAAGGCACACGTGCTGCCAAAATGGATATATCTTTTCCAAGCAGCCCCGGCAAGATTAGAGAAAAATTTCTTTAGAAAAATGGATCAGATAGTTGGAAAATTCATATGGCAAGGGAAAAAGCCATTAAAAGGAAAATGATGCAGGAGCATAAAACAAGGGGAGGCTTGGGACTCCCCAACTGGGAGCGGTATTATCAAGCTTCTTGCCTGGTTTGGGTAAAAGATTGGATAATACTGAAGAGGAAGCGTATATTAAAAATTGAAGGGTATAATCTACAGCAAGGGTGGCATTATTTTCTCTGGCCAATCAAAGCAGGACAGCATAAATATTTTACAAATCACTATGTAAGGGGATGTCTGATTAAGGTATGGAATAAGATCAAAGGAATGATGTATAGTAAGATTCCATATTGGTTTGTGACCCTTGAAGCGACTATATACCCACCTCTATACAACTTGGATAAACCTGTGATATACAGGGAATTGTTGGATGGTGGGGGAAATCTTAGATCTAAAGCGGAACTACAAATACAGGGAATCAATTTGGACCGGTGGGCATATGCACAAATTCAAGCAAGATATCAAAAAGATAAAGCCAATGGGGGCGGGGTTCACTTCACCACAAGAGTTTGATAAGGCCCTCCTGGAAGGTGATAAGAAATGTATCATTAAGGTATATAACCGCCTCCTGTCCCGATTTGTAGCTGAGGAAATAGTTAAAGACTCGATGATAGGCTGGGAGAGGAATTTTGGATATTCATTAGATCTGGAAAAATGGCAACAATTTTCAATTGTGAAAATGACGATGGCAGTGTCTTTCAAAGAAAATATATTTAAAATGTTATATAGATGGCATATACCACCAGCAAGAATCGCAAAGATGTTCCCTGGAACCTCAGCAGAATGTTGGAAATGTGGGTCAGTCAGAGGTACATTTTACCACCAATGGTGGACATGTCTACAAGCCCAAAACTATTGGAGTAAGATAAAAGTTTGGCTCATGGAGATTACAGGAGTCAGTTTTCAACTGAGACCAGAGGTCTTCTTGCTAGGAATAAACCCTGGGGGCATAAGGAAAGCAGACTGGTACCTTTTCATACACATTACCACTGCGGCTAGAATTGCCTATGCACAACTTTGGAAAGGGAAGGAAGTACCATCGGATCAGATGATTATCAACAAAATTTTGTGGTGTGCAGAATGTGATAGATTAACATATATACTTAAAGATAGACAAGAATCAATTTTCAATCAAAGCTGGGATAAATGGATAGAAGTAAAAATGTCATGAGGTAGATGTTAGGGAAGCATGTAGCATAGATATGTAAATAGCAAGCTAAATATAAATAAGGGAATATTAGATATAAGAAGATTAACAAATGCAAGATGCAGTATGATAAACCAAATTGAAGCTGTAGTATGATGATTGTAATGTTATTTAGAAACTGTATATATATGGGGGTTGAATCAACCTCAGTCGTATGTATGTGATTGTGTTTCGTTATAGTCTTTATTCTGTTTTATATTTATAATTTATAATAAAATTTTATAAAAAAAAAAAAACACCCCCAGGAGCAAAACAAATTAAAGTTTAATTTATGTGCATTGTTCAATGGACTGTTAAATTGGCCCCGCCCACCTAGCCACATCACCTAGCCATGCTCACCTAGTCAAATGCCCATCTAGCCACGCCCACCCAGCCAATCCGGCCCAACAACAGTCTGAGGGACCATGAATTGGCCCCCTGTTTAAAAAGTTTGAGGACCCCTGCGTTAGACAAGAGGTAAAAATTAAAAATTATGATTAGGTATAAGTAAATTGACCCAGACAATACACTGTTTACTAAGCACTTATGTATGTTAAAGAAAAATACATAAATAAAATATATTTTAAAATGTCTTCATTCACATACACTAACCATTATTTATCTAAAACATATACTTTTCATTTTAATATTATTCTCCACCCACACAGCAAACACTTTTTCCAGACTCCAAAATGCCAGTCTTAGGTATGAAAATATTCATTCATAATCAAGAATGTATCCAAACAAACAATCATGAATTACTCTACTTACTGAAGCCTGTGTGGTGGCTGTCTGCTGAGGGGAGCTTGTGTTTGGAGAGCCTGCCTGTCTGCTGGCTGCAATTGTGGCCTACAAGAAATATTTTTTAAAAAATTAGAATTAAGATACCATATATTATTAAGTACTCCCTGAGAAAAAGACAAAAAGTGAGACATTAAACTTTTCATTAGTATATATCCTTTCTGCAAGGGTAAACTATGATAGAGACCTCAATTGTTTTAACAGACTATTACGTTGTTCTCAATTACTCTGAAAAAATTTTGAGGTTTTTTCAGAGACACGGAAATGGCAAAAATTTATACCATGTGAACTATCAGTAAGAACAGTCAAAAGCTCCCTTCACTACTCTCCAAAAGGCCTAAAGCCCAGCAGACAGAAATAAAGATGGATAAACTTCATATTTAATGGTGCAGTATGAATGCAGCCTACAACTGTCATATGAATGAATTACCTACCTCATAACTTTAGATATGTGAATGGCTATATTTTGCATCAGCTCATAACCATTTGAAAAATGGCCTCAAATATAGTACAGTAGCTCAGACACTGTACCATTAACACATAATAATGAAAAGCAGGTTAACATTTTCTAAGTAAGCCCCTAATTATTTTTATTGACTGTTGCTAGTTAGTAGTAAATCTATGGAAAGCTAAGCTGTACACACATTCTTTAAAAAGCCATAGTCTCTAAAACAGCAGTTCCCTAATCAGAATATATTCCTTTTTTTCAACTCAACCTCTATTTGTTTGCCCTCGGCAGTGCTCATTGTCAAGAACCAATTGCCACCTAACTCCAAGCCCAAGAAATGTAAGCTACTTATCTATTAAGCTGTAGGAGAGGCAGGAAAAAGGTTTAAATTACAATGGATTATAAGACAAGCTTCACTCTCATGTGGACAGTGGATAACATGGCTCAAACTCAAAAGAAGCTACAGACGCTTAACATATTTAAGAATCTTTATTGTCTACTAAAATGAAGCCACTTGGCAGCTGAATGCCCTCTGTCAACTTCAGAATTCAGCTCTTACTAATAGCCACTGCAATTTATACCTTATGCTTCTTTCCCACAACTTTTTTCGAAGCTTACTGGACATCTTGCTTTTTATTCCTCAAATTTGGAACTAGGTAGCAACTGGCTGTTGACCAAATTGGTGTTCTTATTCTGGGAAATTCTTATTCTTCCAATGTAATACTGATGAAAACTATCTCCAAACATTGACTCAGAAGTTCCATAGCATTTGTGAAATTAATGTAGAGAGAGAAGTGAGTAGCATCTAAATATTAATATTCTCAAAATCAATTATCCAAATTCAAGCAGATGCTGAAATGCATGATGAAAAAGATGGAGGCTTGGTGGTACTCAGAAGTTCCAGTCCTGGGGTTTCTCTCTTCTCAAACAGTATTTTTCAGCTAGCATGTCTTGACTTCTCACCTGCTGGACTGCAGCCAGACTGTGAAGTTGAGCACTATTGAGCTGTTGTTGAAGCATAAATTGATGAAAGTATTGGGCTGCATTGGGTTGTCGCTGTAGTGCTTGAAGGGCCTGCAATAAAGAAGATATCCAAAGTAAGAACATGGAACAACTATAATCTACAATAGTGGTTCTTTTAAATTTTAAACTGGAAGTAATTCTCAAGACGGTACTTTGGACATATCATAGGAATAATAAACAATTTATATTGGCTTGTTTTATGTAAACAAACACTTGTATAAGCATAAGATGCTTGTGGGTTTTTCGTGGATAATGACATTATTTGTATCTACCATGGGACATAGGACATGTCCCAAAAATAAGGCCAAGCCTGATTTTTGGGATGGGCCTATATGCCCTCCCCCAAAACTAAGCCCCCCCTCTCTCACACACACACGCACGCACAGGTCTCTCACCCCCCCAACCCTCCCAAGGCAGCCACATCCCTGCAAACTCTTGTGCCCCCAACCACTTTCGCCGCCCGCAGCACCGACCGTAGACCTCGAGCGCCTGCTCCTGTGCCATGGTGGTGGCCCGCCCGCTCTCGCCCCCGCACCCAGGTGCTACATCTGCATAACCCATACTACCAAGCACCCGCCACAGCAGCCACAGCGCAAAGTAAAAGTCAGGATGAAATACAAACAGAAGAAAAAGCTCTAGAACAAGAAGAAAGAGAGAAAGAGAAAAATGAGCAAGCAGAACGAGAGGGTGCAAGAATAAAAGAACGCAGAAAGATAAGAACAACCAGAACAAACGTTGCTTACCTGAACGTTCCTTCTCGGCGCGCTGATGGAGAATCCAAAGCGTGGGTAATGTTCACGTTGAGCTTGTCAGAGACTGAGTGTATCACTTTAAATTTTCTGCCTCGGTTCCGCCCCTTCTGCTCGACTGATGTCAGTTTAGTTCACGAAGAACAGGTAAGAAGACGACGGTAGTCCACAATCAAGGCGCCGGACCTGAATCCTTAAGGTAGGGAGGGTTGGATTCTCCATCAGCGCACCGAGAAGGAATGTTCAGGTAAGCAACGTTCGTTCTCCAGCGCGCTGCTTGGAGAATCCAAAGCGTGGGATGTACCCAAGCAAGTTAATTAGGGGGGGTTGTCAGACAGGTCTGGGTTAAGCACTGGAGCAGCGACCAATTGTAGAACACGTTGGCCGAAGGCAGCATCAGCCGCCACAAAAGAATCAATTTTATAATGTCGAATGAACGGGTTCAAGGTGGTCCAGGTGGCTGCTCTGCAAATTTCCGAAACCGAGGCTTGAGTTGCCCATGCAGCTGATGTAGAGGCACTCCTGGTGGAATGAGGAAGGACTTTGCCCGGAGGAGGCTTGCCTGACGAGGAGTAAGCCTTGCAGATACAGGCTTTTAGCCATCGACCAATCGTGGTAGACGAAACTTTTTGACCCAGAGAAGCCGGAAGAAAAGAAACAAAAAGAGCTTCAGAACAACGGAATGCCGAGGTCCTCTTGATGTACCGGCGTAGAGCCCTCCGAACATCAAGGGTGTGCCACTGTTCCTCTAGCGGGTGTCTGGGATCCGGACAAAAATCGGGAAGGATCAGCTCCTGAGTGCGGTGGAAAACCGAATTGACTTTCGGGATAAAGGAGGGGTCCAATCTGAGGACAACTCGATTAGAATGGAAAATACATAAATCCTTTCGAACTGACAGGGCAGCCAATTCAGAGATCCGTCGAGCCGATGTCACCGCAATCAGGAACACTACCTTGAGTGTCAGGAGACGCAGACCAATAGATCCCAAGGGTTCAAAAGGAGGGGCCGTGAGAGCTCGGAGGACCAGCGGGAGATCCCAGGAAGGATATCGATAGACACATGGAGGCCGGAGATTAGCTGCGCCCCTCAAAAAGGATCTAATCCATCGATTGTGAGACAGAGGAACATCCGAATCGGCAGAAAGAACGGTATTCAAGGCAGCCACATGTCTGCGGAGCGTGTTCGCCGCAAGGCCCTTGTGGAAACTGGCATGCAGAAACTCCAACACGTTGGAGACCGAAGCAGAAGTGGGATCAGAATGCCTGGCGGTGCACCAGGAAGCGAAGGAGCGCCAGGTGGCATTGTAAATTCTGGTGGTGGAAGGTCGTCTGGAGGCCTGGATGATGGAAACAACTTCTCCGGACAAGTTGTCTTTGGTCAGGAGGATCCTCTCAAATGCCAGAAGGTCAACTGCAACCACTGAGGCTCTGGATGCAGTATGACCCTCTGGCTGAGAGAGATCCTGTGGTCGGGGATTCGCCACAGAGGAGCCACTGATAGGTCCACCAGGTCGGCGAACCAGGACCTGCGCGGCCAATGGGGAGCGACAAGCAGGACGTCCGCTTGTTCCAGGAGGATCTTCCAGATCACCCTCGGCAGGAGTGGGAGAGGGGGAAAGGCATAAAGGCGGCCCCGTGGCTAGGGGCATAGGAGGGCGTCGGTGCCTTCTGCTGTGGAGCAGTGGAACCGGGAGAAAAATCTCGGAAGTTGTGCGTTGGCCGGATGGGCAAACAGGTCGATTATGGGGCGACCGAACCTGGCGGACAGTTCTTGAAAGAGGAACGGGTGGAGGTGCCACTCGGCCTGATCGATCTGCTGACGGCTGAGCCAATCCGCTTGGCGGTTGTCGGTGCCGGATATGTGGTCCGCCGTCAACGACCGAGTGTGTGATTCCGCCCAAGTCAACAGCATGGTCGCTTCCGCCATGAGGGGAGCCGATCGAGTTCCGCCCTCGCGATTTACGTGCGCTTTTGCCGTCACGTTGTCCGTGAGGACGCGGACGTGTTGGTCTTCCAAGAGAGGTTGGAAATGAGACAGCGCTAGTCTGATTGCACAAAGCTCCAGCCAGTTGATGTCGTTGGCTGCTTCTGCTGGACACCAGCGACCCTGTATGACCTGGTTCTGAAGGTGGGCACCCCAGCCCATCAGACTCGCGTCGGTGGTCACCGTCACCCGTGGAGGGTTTTGGAACAAACACCCGGAGAGCACAGATGGCGAGATCCACCAAAGTAGGGAATCGCGAACTGCTGTAGGTAACCGGACCCTGGACCTGGAGTTGCTGCGGCGGGTCTTTTGGAAAGGTAACAGATACCATTGCAGAGGCCTGGAGTGGAATCTGGCCCAAGGTACAATGTAGAGGCAGGATGTCATTTTGCCTAGGAGGGTCGATAGAAGCAGCAGCGGCACCCGGGGTAGTGACAGGATCTGGAGAACCAAGGAGCGAATGCTGAGGCGATGATCTTCCGACAAAAAAACCATGCTCAGCTGAGAGTCCAAGATCGCCCCTAGGTGAAGAATCCGAGTGGTGGGATGGAGATGGCTCTTTCCGACATTCAGCGTGAAGCCGTGCGAACGGAGAGCAGATCCTCAAGATCCCTCAGGGCGAGAGCGGGCGACGACGACAGGATGAGGATGTCGTCGAGGTAACAGCAGAGCCGAATGGGGATCAGCCGGAGAGAGGCGGCTACGGCGGCCAACACCTTCGTAAAGACCCGCGGGGCTGATGACAGGCCGAATGGCATTGCCCGGTATTGGAAATGCAGACCGTTGTAGGCAAACCTGAGGAATCGGCGATGTGCTGGCCGGATGGGGATATGCAGGTAGGCCTCTTTCAAGTCGATGGAAGTCATCAGGTCTCCCGGGCGGATGCAGTCCATTATCGACCGTAGTGTTTGCATCTTGAATTGATGGTACTTTATGAATTTGTTGAGTGCCTTTAGATCCAGAATTCCCCTCCATCCTCCTGAATTTTTGGCCACCAGGAAAAAGATGGAGTAGAAGCCGGTCCCTTGATGACTTAGGGGAACCGCCTCTATAGCCCGAATGTCCAGGAGATGTTGAATCTCCGCATCCATTAAGTCCCGCTTCGTTGGATTCGCTGGGACGGGGCATTTGATGAATCTCGGAGGAGGGAGGGAGCAGAATTCCAGGGTGAGGCCGAGACAGATAGTTTGGCGGACCCAGGTGTCCGTCGTGGTCTGCTCCCATTGGGACTGAAAAAGATGGAGACGACCACCAATGGGAGCTGAAGGGAGGGAGTCATTTCCCCCTCCTGAAGGGACGTGTGCTGGAGCCCCTGTAGGGCCTCTTGGAGGAAGATTGTCGATGGCCCCTGTCGCGAAAGCCGAAATGGTCGGAGGTTCTGTAGAACCCTTGAAATGACGGGCGGTATTGAAAGGACCCACTGGGTCCGGAATCTGACCGAAAGGGCGGCCATTACGAATATGGTGAATAACGACGATCTGCTCGTCTGAAGGAAGTCGGCATCACTTTCCGCTTATCCTTATCCTCAACGAGGATGGGATCAAGCGCGTCCCCAAACAGTTTCGTTCCTTTGAATGGGACAGAAGCCAGCTGCCATTTAGACTTGTTGTCTGCCTTCCAGTGTCGTAACCACAGGAGGTGGCGTGAGGCAGCGGTGGCGGCGAGGGAGCGAGAGGCGAACTTGGCCGCATCCAGGGATGCGTCCGCAGAGTATTCTGCCGCTGCGACCAGTTTATTAATATCCTGATGCAAGCGCTTGTCGTCCTGGGGGAGGCGGTCCTGTAACTGGCATAGCCAGATGAGGGAGGCGCGGTTGAAGAAAGACGACGCTGTCGCTGCCCTGATCGCCCAAGCAGCCGCCTGATGGTTCTTTCGTAGTAGGATCTCCGCCCGTCTATCTTCAGAGCGTAAGCCGTCCGCCACATCGCTAGTCAGGACAGACGATGCTGTTAGCTGAGCCACGGGGGCGTCCACAGAAGGTAGAGTCAGCATTTCCTGTAAATTAGGCGCTGAACAATACAACTTTTTGTCTAGGCTATTTGGGGCTGGCAAGGAAACAGGTAAGCTCCATGGCCTTTGAATTACCTCCGTAAATAACTGAGGGCAGGGAATAGCATCCTGAGATTCTGCCTAAACCTGAAACAGGCCATCAGAAGGGAGGGAGGACGAAGACGTGGCTTGTTGGTCAGGAGGGTCCACCAAATTTGTGGAAACCTTTGCCTTCTGTAGCAAGGACTTGAACAAGGCTGGACGAAAGAGCCTTGTCAGCGGAGGTTTGTCCGGTAAGAGGCCCTCGTCCTCCGAAAATTCTGAGTCTC